GAACCACGTAAATGAGTACTACTTTTACATTATAACTGATAAGATGCTTATCAGGATAAGAAATGCTTGTGTTGAGTGCACATAAACTCCACAGTACACACCCAGTTGATGCGGAATGCTATTTTACCTTTTTAGGAAAAATTCTCTTCGAAGTGCACGGATGCTCATCTCCGTAGCATTCCTTCCGTCGTAATATCATTCTCACCCACTCATAGACAATAAAGTCAGAAAAGTAAATAGGTTTAAGTACCATTTTGGTACCTTAACTTTTTATTTTGATATCAAAATTGTCCTTTACCTTTAAAAAGTACCAAATTATCCTTATACTTTCATTTTTGTACCAAAATGATCCTTCCGTCAATTAAATGACAGGTGACACATTAAAATGCCAACAAATTAATTCTTTTTTTTTCTTAATCAATGACATGAAAAAAAAAACATAGTTAACTATTTTTTTTTATGAGTTGGTATTTTTATTTAATTTAACAATAATAATAGTTTTTTTTTGCATCCACGTCAAACAAAAAAAAAATTTCTTCTTCCCCTTTCACTCTCTCTCCTTCACCTTTCCTTTCCCTTTCTTCTGCAAACCCAGATCTAGTTCTTCCTCTCTCACCCAGATCTGTTTGCAACACTCGAATCAAGGAGGAAGTCCTTAGATTATACTATGCAAACTCTGAATCTTGTACCAAAGCTCGTGCCTTCTTCTTCATCGCTGGAAGTCCTTTCCGATGATGCTATTTTGTAAAATCGCTGTTCGAGAAAACCCAGAGAAAGACCCAGAGCTCGTGCCTTCTTCTTCGTCGTCGAAAGTCCTTTCCGATGATGCTATTTTGTCGAATCGCTGTTCGAGAAAACCCAGGGAAAGACCCGGAGCTTGTGCCTTCTTCTTCGTCACTGGAAGTCCTTTCCTTTTCACTTCTGCAAACCCAGATATGGGTCTTCCTCTATCAAACCCAGATCCATCTACAATGCAAGAATCAGGGATTAGATTTTGCTCTACAAACTCCGAATCTTGTAACCCCATAACATGAATCGTGGCCCATATTATTTTCTGGCCCCTTATTGCCTTTGGTCAGTTCCTCAACTTCAGGTAAGTCAGTCAATATCAGTTCTACTCGTATCTATATATGCATCTGCAATGTCCTGTTGCTATTTAGTCAGATTCTGTACCTGGGTTTTTATTTGGGTTGAATTAGTTTTAGTTTTTATTTGCTCGTGCCTTCTTCGTCTTCGTCGAAAGTCTTGAGCAAAACCCAAATTTATATGATGAAAACCCAGATCTGGGTTTGAGAGAGAAGAAGAAGAAGGCTGACGGCAGTAGCAACAAAAGGTTTGGCGTGAACGATGACAAGATTGAACAAGGCACTGTCACCTAGAGGAACGAAGAAGTGATCGAGCGTCCACTCCAGATCTGGGTTTGCAAAAGAAAGGGAAAGGAAAGGTGAAGGAGAGAGAGTGAAAGGGGAAGAAGACATTTTTTTTGTCTAACGTGGATGCAAAAAAAACCTATTATTATTGTTAAATTAAATAAAAATGCCAACTCATAAAAAAAAATAGTTAACTATGTTTTTTTTTTCCATATCATTGATTAAGAAAAAAAAAGAATTGATTTGTTGGCATTTTAACGTGCCACCTGTCATTTAACTGATAGAAGGACCATTTTGATTAAAAAATGAAAGTTTAAGGATAATTTTGATATTTTTTAAAGGTGAAAGACAATTTTGATACCAAAGTGAAAAGTTGAGGGACCAAAATGGTACTTAAACCAAGTAAATATAATATAGCGTTAACATTTAAAATGTAATAAAATTTTTTTTATTAAAAATATATATATTTGAAATATAATAGAGAGTTAGTTGTATTTTTTTAATATTTTAACTCTCCCTAAAATAAATGAAACAACTAAAAAAACTTATATTTTAAAAGAACAGTGCACAAAAGTTTTGAATTCCATGAAAAAAATTAAAATCTTAACTGTTCAAACACTAACATATATGAATATTTAAGTTTTAGAAATGCAGTTTCGTTAAAATTCGTGAGGAAGAGTTTTGTCGCCCATTGGATTTTACTGGACTCAAATTCGGATTAATTGATGACACAGTGGACTTCTAGTGGAGTTTTAGATATTGAGTGGTTCAAACAAAAAAAAAACATCTAATGAATATTTTAAAAACTAATTATTAGATTTAATATTCTATTTATGTATTTAATAATATTAAATTTTGTATAATTAATAAATTAATTAAATATATTTAATTAAGTCAAAAATTGGTATTTATGATTTACATAAATGAAGCATATTAGGTTAGTTTTAAAAAATTTTCATTAAAAAATAGTATTTTTGAAGTTAAATTTTAATTTTTTTATTATAGTCAAAACTAATATGTATATACCTCTTTATTTTTTAGTATTAGTATAAAAAAGAATAAAAATCTATTTATATACAAGTTTTTTACACACACAATCACAAAATCTTAATAATTATCTTTACAATTTTAATATTTGAGATTTATTTACATTTATTAAATATAATTATTGTTTTTATCTAAAAAATCATGATAAATCTTAATAATTAAAAATAAAAAAATAAATTATTAAAATTTTACATAAATATATATGTAAAATTTACGTATAAATAGATTTCTTCTCATAAAAGAATCATTATTTTTGTAATAGAATCAAAGAAAATTCACATTCTAAAGGGAATTGGTTATGCCACCAAACAATTTATTAAGGTCACAAAAAATTAAAATTTTTTTTTATTATAGTTACTATTCTAATCCATTCTTTTAACTAAAATACAAAATACCAAAAGAAAGTTAAAGTTAAAGGTAAAATAGTAACTAAAACAAAAATACACTTGGAACTTTTTAGTGTGTTTGGGACAATAACCAAACCCTTGGCCCCCTCCAATATTTCCGTTGAATATATAAAATAAAAGCCTACAAAAAAGAAGGGACACCAGTGAGGAAGGATACTATCGTCATTTCAACGGGAACCACCATGAGCCCAGAACCCTAGGAGAAAGCCTTTGTCTATTTATTTTGACCAGAAGCTAGGAAACCCAAAGTCGAAATTATATATACCAGTTGGCAGCAATTCCAAAAGGCAGAAATTTTCTTAAAATTTAAAAATAAGAAAAAAATTGTGTAATTCCTGAATTACACCCTAAACTTAGTTCTTTTCTCCAATTTCTTCCTAAACCTCCGTTTTGAGCTAATTAAGTCCTTATATTGTGTGTTATGCCCAATTTAACCTCAAATTAATGTCCTCTGAAGGGTAACATAACTTTTCTCATGTTAGTTTTCACATAATATAAATACTAATATAGATTTGCCAAAAAAAAAAAAATACCATACTAATATAAAGAAGTTATCTTTATAAAAACATTAACAAAAAAAATTACAATCACATATTCATTTTTCGTCGTGAAGTTTGCCTTAACAAAAATATAACTTTGTAGTTACGAAAGGGTAAATGGAAAATGGGAATCTTGTTTTACAATCTAAATTGTATTAAATTATAAAACATTAAATATTTGATAAGGGGAGAGTTTTAACATCAAAAGACCTAATCTCTATCCAGTGGTTAATATAATGCAATATAAATTGTACTATATTTTTTGGTAGAAAATTAGGAAAAAAAAGAGTTAAAAGTCTATCTCTCCTACTAAAAAACTACACTTAAAAAAATTTTAAACAAATTACCTCATAGTGACTTTCTCAAGAATCCAAAATTCATTTAATAGTTATCTAATTTTAGAGCCACCCTCCTTTATATATATATATATATATTTAGATACTTAAAGTGTTTTTAGATTAATTTTTGCATATCTCAATAAAAATTTATTATTGGGCAAATTTATCATAAGATGAGACTGGCTTACCAACAAATTCACACTTACGTATATTTGAAAAAATTATATGGATATTGGATAAGAATATGACCTTTCAAAATTTTATTAGTTAAGGATACAATCTTTTTTTATTACTAATTAAGGATGTTATGAACTTTCATAAGTTACTATTATTAATTAAGAATGTGAACTTATAGTTTTAGTTCATGTAAGTAATAGGTTAGAAAGTTTTTGTACACATCGGAGACTAAATGGCATTCACTAAACATGTCTATGTGACACATCAACATAAACATCAAATGAGTCATTCCTTAGTAATTTTCAACATGTTTATATTTATAACTAGTAACTTACGAAAATTTACATTTTTAATTATTAATGAAAAAAGTTTAGATCCTTAATTAATAAAAACGTAAAATTTTATATACTTATTCATAAAATCATTTCCAAGTTTAGATTAAAAAAAATTAAAAAGAGTTAAAAGAAATCAATTTGCTCTAATTAATTTAAGGATAATAAACCCATTTTCTTTCTTTTACTTTCTCATTTTCCTCAATCCAAACACAAAAGTTAGGGTTATTTTGGGAGGCACCACCCTCTTCTCAACCAATTAGCA